TCACCCCTGCTGGCTCTTTCTGCTTCTGCAGCCGGGCCCTGGGTGGGGTTTGCCTCCAGCTGCGGGTGAGCCTTCCCTGACTGAAGTCAGGCCTTGCTCCCTCCTTGCCTGGACTCCCCGTGGCTCTCCTCATGGCTCTCCCTGTGGCCACCAGGCTGCAGCTTCCGGCTCCAGCCTCCCTTCCCCTCCCCTCTTCTCAGCCACAGCAGCTCCTAGCATCAGGAGTGCTGACCTTCCCAGAGCCCCCCAGTCAGAGATGCTGGCCTGCCTCCAGCCAGTAGGGAGTGGACACCTGCAGCACAGTGGTCAGTGGGATGCCTGAGTGAGGGCTGCACCGGGGCTCGTGCTGCTTAGCGCCTCGCTGAGCCTGAGCCCCACGCGCAGGTGTGCTGAGCTGGCAGCCGCCAGCACAGGATGGACCATCTCTGTGTGCCGGGGCTGCAGGCCTGAGCTCTGCCCTCCCCCAGCAGTCAGGGAGGCAGGGCCACTGGTGCGCTGGTGCACGCAGCTGACCTGGGATCTGGCCCGAGGCCCTTCCCACACTGCTTCCTGGCCCGGGCCCTGGCACAGAGCTGGGAGGGCGGGCTCTAGGCACCTCTGGACTGTGGGCATGGCATGCAGAGTGATGATGGTGGCCTGTGTCGGTTATCTGGAGAGTGACTACACAAGGGAGACCCCACCACAGGATGCGCCTGCCGGGGCCTGTGTCTGGGAGCAGGTGTACTGTGCCGGGGATATGGACTGTTCCGGGAGCAGGATCAGTGCACACGGGAAGTGGGCGCCAGAGAGTGTGTGTGTGTGTGTGTGTGTGTGCGCGCGCGCGCTGAGTGTGCACGGGGAGCGTGAGCCGGGGGTGTGTGTGCGCTGAGTGTGCACGGGGAGCGTGAGCGGGTGTGTGTGTGCGCGCTGAGTGTGCACGGGGAGCGTGAGCGGGTGTGTGTGTGTGCGCTGAGTGTGCACGGGAGCGTGAACCGGGGGTGTGCGCTGAGTGTGCACGGGGAGCGTGAGCCGGGGGTGTGTGTGCGCTGAGTGTGCACGGGGAGCATGAGCTGGTGTGTGTGTGTGTGCTGAGTGTGCACGGGGAGCAGGCGCTAGGGTGTGTGTGTGTGCTGAGTGCACGGGGAGCGTGAGCCGGTGTGTGTGTGTGTGTGCTGAGTGTGTACATGGGGAGCGTGAGCTGGGGGGGGGTGTGCGCGCGGGGAGCGTGAGCCAGTGTGTGTGCATGTGTGTGTGCTGAGTGTGTACGCGGGGAGCGTGGGCCGGGTGTGTGTGCTGAGTGTGAGCGGGGAGCGGGCGCCAGTGTGTGTGTGTGCTGTGTGCGTGGGGAGCGTGAGCTGGTGTGTGTGCTGAGTGTGCACGGGGAGCGTGAGCCAGTGTGTGTGCATGTGTGTGCTGAGTGTGCACGGGGAGCGGGCGCCGGTGTGTGTGCGCGCTGAGTGTGAGCAGGGAGCGCGAGCCGGTGTGTGTGTGTGCGCTGAGTGTGCACGGGAGCGTGAGCCGGTGTGTGTGTGTGTGTGCTGTGTGCACGGGGAGCACGAGCCGGTGTGTGTGTGTGCTGAGTGTGTGCATGGGGAGCATGAGCCGGTGTGTGTGTGCTGAGTGTGCACGGGGAGCGTGAGCGGGTGTGTGTGTGTGCTGAGTGTGCACGGGGAGCAGGTGCTAGGGTGTGTGTGTGTGTGTGCTGAGTGTGTACGCGGGGAGCGTGGGCCGGTGTGTGTGCTGAGTGTGAGCGGGAAGCGGGCGCCGGTGTGTGTGCTGAGTGTGCGTGGGGAGCGTGAGCTGGTGTGTGCTGAGTGTGCACGGGGAGCGTGAGCCAATGTGTGTGCTGAGTGTGCACGGGGAGCGGGCGCCGGTGTGTGTGTGCGCTGTGTGAGCAGGGAGCGCGAGCCGGTGTGTGTGCGTGTGTGTGTGCAGGGAGCGTGAGCCAGTGTGTGTGCTGAGTGTGCACGGGGAGCGGGCGCCCGTGTGTGTGCGTGCGTGCTGAGTGTGCACGGGGGTGGGCGCCGGGGTGTGTGTGTGTGCTGAGTGTGTGTGTGGGGAGCGTGAGCTGGTGTGTGTGTGCGCGCGCTGAGTGTGCGTGGGGAGTGTGAGCCAGTGTGTGTGTGCGCGCGCGCGCTGAGTGTGAGCGGGGAGTGTGAGCCGGTGTGTGTGTGTGTGTGCTGAGTGTGTGCGCGGGCGCCGGCGCCCTGCAGGGTACTCATTCTTCTGCCAGGCGCAGCTGGCGCAGTGGCAGGGCCTTGAGGGTTCCTGGTGGCCTCTGTCCTTGCTGGGGCATGGCTGTGAGTACCTCTCTAAACAGAGACGTGCTGGGGGCGCCTGGGTGGCTCAGATGGTTAAGCGTCTGCCTTCGGCTCAGGTCATGATCCCAGGGTCCTGGGATCGAGTCCCGCATCGGGCTCCCTGCTCAGCGGGGAGCCTGCTTCTCCCTCTGCCTCTCTCTCTCTCTCTCCGTCTCTCATGAATAAATAAAGTCTTTAAAAAAAAAAAAAAAACAGAGATGTGCTGGGCCCATAAATAAGTGCCACATGGTGTGGCTGCCTGGGCAAAGATGAGTCCGAGCTAGAGCTGCCTGCGGAAGGGGATGTGGGTCGGACAGTGCACAGTGGACGCTGCTGGGCAGGTCACCCTCTTGCGTCAGGTGCAGGGGTCCGCTCCTTGGTGCTGACTGTGCCGCCATTCCCGACCTCCCTGTCTCTCTCTGTCGGGGCTGGGAGTGACAGTACCGGCTCGTAGCGTAGCCACCCCACCGTCCCCACCCTCGTCTGCTGGACGCACACGCACCGCTTGCCAGACCTTCTGTTGGACTGGACGTCAGAGCTGTTTGTCTGGTGCTCCCCTCGGGCACCCTGACGAAGGACGCGGCGTGAGGTTGTCCAGTAATCTCGTGTGCTTTTGCCTTTCAATCTGTCTACTTTTCTACTTACTGAAAACGGGCCTGAGTTTAAGTCAAGTCTGATGGTTCTTCGGAAACAGCACACAGGCCAGCCAGATGGTGTCCTGAGGGCCCTGGCATGGCGGCTGGGAGCGCCGGCCCAGGCACACTTCCTCAAAGCCCGCTGGTGGTCTGCAGGAGCCCCCTGCGTTGTGGTCTGTTTGGACTCTCAGGAGTGTCTAGAATCTTCTGACGGTGTTTTGTCTGCCGCCATTCTCTGCATTTACACATCTCTTCCAGGGCCGGCACTCCAAGCTGGTGCTCACTGAGCAGAAGTCCCACCGGGCAGGGCACGTCAGGGACCAGGAGGGAGGCCGTCAGATGAGCTCAGCACCAGCAGACAGGCTTCATCCGTGCTGACTTTTTTAGGATTCCAGCAAATTTGGAGGTCTGCTTGGTGTCCCTGTGCCAGGAAGGTTAGGAGTAGCTGCTTAGCAAAAAGGTAGAGACACAGGCCCACTGGGCCAGGCCAGACAGAAGACTTTCCAAAGCCACTAGAACACCCCTAAAGGCCTATGAGTCGGGGGACCCGCCGTGGACTGGGCCCTGAGGGCATGAGCAGGCTTGGGCCCCAGACAGGTCACGAGGGGAATGTGGATGCCCATGTAGGGACACACGCGGTTGAGCCTGCCACTGCGTCCAGGTGGCCAGTGCACACCGGCCACGTGTATTACCGCCTCTAGCATCTCAAGGACGCCAGGCCTGTGCACGCGGGTACGATGTGAACTCCAGTCTCCTCTGTGAGATGCGCGCGCTTTCCCTGTCATTTTACCATGGGGACTCTCAGACCCCTGGCGGGGTCGAAGGGACCACACAGTGGACACCTCCCCCCCTACTGTTCCCCCAGCCTCACGCTTTCCGGCACAGGCCTCTGCTGTTCCCCATAGGCCCTTCAGCTGGCAGGTCATTAATGGACTAGATTTTGGTATTGCTACATTGCTCATTTCCCTTTTGTGGGAAAATTGGCATAAAACAAAATACACAAGTATTAATGGTACCATTAGAGTTTTGCCGTATGTGTGCATCTCTGCAACCAGACCTCCCAGCAGGATCCGGGTGACACCAGCCTGCAGCCCTTTTGGTCAGGCCGACCCCGCCCCCGAGGCACCCACTGAACCCGTTTACGGTCTCTGGAGCTTTGCCTCCGGGCTTGGTTTCGTGCGTCTGTCTCGACACCACGGGTTTCCGCTCAGTCCCATAGGACGGCTCCTTTTGCTCCCTGCTCTTCTTTCCATACCTGGCCCTGCCAGCTGGTCAGTCTGCACCTGTGCCTTCTGTCATCTTGTGGCGACCCTCCCGCCCGAGTGCATGCCTTCAGAGACCGAGAAACAGGGTGCCTTTTATTCAAGGACCTTCGAGGTCGTGGTGGGGGTATCTGGGACCTCGTGGGACCTGTGGCATCAGGGACTTTCTTCTGTGTTTGGGCCCAGGGTCTCCCTCCCAACACCTGGTCTGGCTCTGACTCAGTTACCGTCTCAAAGGCACAGCAGACCCGTGAGTGACACGACGTCTCGCTGTGTCTGACCAGGAGCCTTACTCAGCGTGTGAGTGTGCGTGTCCAGCTGCATTCCAAATCACGGAGGATTTAATCTGGTTACTCTTTAGTCGTCTGCTGACGAGCGAGGACAGGTCCCATGCCAGAGTCCCTGCAGCTGTCCCCACCAGCACCGGCACCGCAGAGGTGCCCGCCGGCCACCAAGGGTGGCCCACTGTGCGTGTCTGTCCCCCAGGAGCCACGCATCATGCGGCAGACACCACATGCTGTGGCTGGCAAGCTCTCAGCAGCTGCTCGAGGGATGGTGTGAGTGTCCATGCTTCTGGTCAGTGCCCCATGGGCTGGGGGCTCCTCTGTGAAGGCCGCGCGTACTCTGAGGGCTGTGCCGCTGGCCCCGGGAGTGGTTCACAGGTTCCAGTCAGCCTGATGCCTCACTCCTCCTGGGAGATCTGGTGCCGAGCTCGGATTCACACCAAGGTCCTGTGCTGCGTGTTCAGTCTGCGCCCTGGGGAAGTGGTTGGGCAGCCGGAGCCCGTGGGCTTGGGTGCAGACATTCCTTGACTCCTACCACAGACATGCTCCTCGACCTCAGTGACCTGCTCCAGGTAGACTGGTTTCCTTCCTGAGCCCCCTTCCCAAGGGAGGCTGGGACTGGGGCTTGTGCCACCCAGGCTGGAGGCTGGTCCACAGAACAGAGGACACACCGGGGTGTGGTCTGTTTCAAAACCGGTGGGGGGGGGCAGTAAACACAGGGTCACAGCGCTGCCCTGGGAGCTGGGTGGCCCCGGCCTCAGAGCCAGTGGAAAGACCCAGGTGAAATTGGTCTGAGGGGAGATGCTTTGAGAGAAAAACAAAGGGACTCACATGCATGGATCTTCAACAATATAAAAAGCCACATTATGGTCTATTTGGGGACCCTGTCTAGGTACCAGGCAAGCATTTTCTGTTGCATCTGTTGTTTCTAAACTACTGAAGGTGATGGAAAAAGACCCAGCAAGAAGGACACCTGTGTGGGCGGGACACTTACAGGGTGGGGCCATCGAGGTTCTGCATGTGTCCCGTCCCTGGGGACAGGGGACTGGGGCAGGCAGGGGGATCGCTCCACGGGGGCTCGGAAAGAGCAGGGGGTCACGGAGAACAGACGTGACCACAGTGTGAAGGGTGTGTGCAGGACTCACAGAGATCCCACGCCTTTGAGGAAAGCTTGGTCGGGTCTGGGTGCCCTAACACACCGCAGGGCCCCCCCCCCCGCACTGACAGAGCTCAACTTCCGCGTAAGCCAGATGCTGCCTGTGGGTCTGCCTTCCCAGCTATCTTTATAAATGGCATCTCTCAGGAGTCCTGTTGAAACAGTCTGTGGCCACGCTAATAATAACCTGCTGGAATCATGGAAGCCCAGGGCTCCATGTGCGGTGCGCGGTCAGGGCGTATGCTCATAGCCTGTCCCCTCCTGAGCCTTCCCAGCAAGGACACGGAGCTGGTGCAGGGCCGCCAAGGGCTGACACAGGCTCAGGGTTCAGCTCCCGCTGAGCACCCCCTGGCAGGAACTGAGTTGGGGGGGTCCTGGCACCCCATGAAGCCGTGGCTGGCACAGGGCCACTCAGGGCCGTCTTTGTGCAGAGCCCATCCGCCCGTTGGACAGGAGTGGGAAGGCTGGCCAGCCACACCCGGCTGTGACCAGCCGCCTCCACGGAGACGAGCCACAGACACAGGGAGGGGTCCTCAGAGTCTGTGTCACTGTTTCTAATGCCTGCCGATGAATGTCAGCATCTCGGGCAGTAACACGCGTTGTACAAGCCTTTAAACATTGAACTTTTCCAGAGAACCCTTCTCTGCAGCATCCAGGTCTCCATGGGCCTGGGACAGGGTCAGGGAGGTGGGAGGTGGGGAGGGGGCAGCATACTCCGGGCAGGTGAGTTCCACTCTGGTCCAAAGGGGCATGAAGTCGGGAGGGTGAAGACGCAGGAGCTTGGGGTGTTCCTAGAAGATGCACGCTTCCACACGCACACACAGTAACACACTCACACACTGCGTGCACTCTGGTGGGCAGGCCAGGGGCAGAATCCCTTCAGAAGGCGAGGTCTGTGAGCCACCAGCCCTATGAAGGGGGCTTCCTGGAGGAGGCGGCCTGGGTGTGGAGTGCTGGCCCCCCGCACCGCACTGCACCCTCCATCTCCTCCAAGTGGACTTTGTACCATTCTGTAGTGCTCCCTGACGGCTGCAGACACCCACCTGTGCTGCCTGAGAGCCCCGGATGGGCGCTCTTGATGATTCTTCGCAGTCTTTTCTGGTGGCTTCTTTGGGCGTGAGGCTAAGGGGCCCTCATCCAGGACCTCACAGGCCAGGCTTGATAAGGCAAAGGGACTCTACAGGGAGACCAGAGGCAGGGGGCCAGGGCCAGGACACTGAGACCTGCGAGTCCCAGGGGCAGGGCAGGCCTCTCCAGCTCAGGTGGAAGGGGCTAAGCTTGGGCTTCTCCCAAATCTGCACCGTATCCAAGCAGAACAGCTTCTGCCATGCCTGTCGTCAAACACGGCTCAGAAGCCCCTCCTCACAGCCCCCCCCCCCAGGCCTTGGTCAGCACAGGACCAGCTCTTAGGACAACTCCAGGCTCCGCCGCACTGGAGGTCTGCACCCTAGAGTCCTTGAACCTGTGTTCAGTTGCAAGCAATCTGGTCAGGCGGTGGACTCCACAGCCGATTTGGATTTGATGGGGGTGGGGGGAGGGGTCACTGAGGCCTGCAGAGACCCAGGGCCATGACGGAGCTGGTCCACGGGGACACAGACAAGGATCCCAGTGAGGGAGCACGCAGGGGTGCAGAACATTCTGGATGACGCACAGCGAGCTCTGGGCTCTACCTCAGCAGTCTGTCTCGCAGATCAGTTGTTGCTGAGACAGTGCAGGGTCTGAAAAAGCTGCCTGGGATTGGGAAGCAGGGTGGGCCTGGCGGTGGGGCAGGGCTGTCAGAGACTGAACGGTGAAATGCATGTCGTAAGGAACAAAAGCAAACGTTTCCTGAGTCCCAGTGCTGTCCTCAGCTGTGGCTTCTTCCCTACAGGTGAACGTGTATGTGCTGGGGAAGACGTTCCTTCTTCTGGCAAGGGAGCTGTGCATCAACGCGCCGGCCATCGGTACGTCGGGCGGGAGGGAGTCCTGTGCAGGGACGGGCTCCACCAGGTCGTAAGAAATGTCTGAGAAGCAGCTGGGAGGCTGACAGTTTGGGGGTTACTTTTGGTTTAGAACCAGAGTGCCCATGGTCAGTCCCCGGCAGGTTGGAGGAGGGTACAGAGGGAAACGGGACCCATCTGTCCACCTGTTGAGGAATACACCTGGTGGCCGGTGCCCCGGGGAAGGCAGGACCTCTGCAGATGGAGAGGTGCTTTCTTAGCCCATTCTGCCTTCCCTGGAGCTTTGCCGAGAGGATTATTTTCACAGTCTGCTTGCGGGGGCTGCTCCCCATTTTGCCCATCATCCTCTACAAGTGTATTCTGTTTCAAGGAGGCAGAGTACAGGGCCAAGGGAGGGTGGGCTGGGGGTGCAGTCCCGGATAACCCACAGGATGGTATCCTGGGGCCAGGAAGGCAGGGTCTGGCAGGGTGGGTCAGGAGAGGGGTACAGCTACAGGGCTACACTAGGCTTGGGGGTTTCACTCCCAGCTAAGACCCTCCCCCAAGAGGCTGCGTCCCTGTGCTGAGTGACATGGTCCCTCCCTCCGGGGGTCAAGCTGAGGTTTTTCAGAAACAAAGCAGCCAGCCACAGAGTGTGCAGCCTGGGAGGACAAAGGTAAGGGGCTCAGAGAGCCTGCTTTACCCCGAAGCGTGCCTGCACAGGGGCCATCTGGGGCCTGCAGAGAGGCCCACCTCACCCTCTGCCACCCTCAAATCGGAGTCCTCCAGTAGGGCTTTGTCTGAGAGGCTGGGATGCCTCAGGAACCACGACACAAGCAGACACCTGGCCTTTTCCAGAGTGTTCTGGCCACAGACCCACAGTGGAGGCCAACAGACAGGGAGGGACAGACACGCCTCCCCAGGAGGCACTTTGTTTCTAACCAGGAACCGTGGCTTAGCACTGGAGGCTTTTTCGTGTGCTGGAAGGGACATGCCATTCACAGACACATAGGAAAGCGCGTGCCTCAGCTTCACACCCTTTCATTCGTTTCTCTCTTGATAGCTTGTTTCGTTGAAACCTTGTTACGAAAATGCAGCTAGACGTGGACTGTTTTAGGTGCCTTTTCCCAGTTTTGGATTTGAAGGGAAGGTTTCAGGTTAAGCATAGCAGTGCTGCGAATTCATGGGGGTGGGAGGGATGGCAAAGCCCACAGAGCAGGCCAGGGGGGCACCACAGGGTGGGGCCTGCAGGAAGGCCGCCTCGTGCCCCAAATGTGCCCAGCGGCCAGGACTCAGAAGCCCTGGCTCTCGCCGTGTAGGAAGAGCATCGAGTTCCAGCTCTGGGCTGCTGCTGACTACGAACGAGAGAGAGAGAAAAAAAGGAAGCGAAGCCTTTAATGGTGTCGGTGAGGCAACCGGCAGGGGGAAGGGGCCTGCTGCACTTCCCTTCCCAGCGGGTGCACCTCCTCCCAATGCGCATCATAGCGCGTCCATGCTACCCCCGGCAGTTCAGGCATAGAAGATGAGCTCGGGGATCTGCCCACCCTGGACCCCGGTCCCGTTGGTGCTGTCTGAGGAGCACTGGAACTGGAAGGTCACCTTCCCACACTGTACTTCTGTCATGCCCTCCTGCCCAAAGTAGCTGAGCTCGCTGCCGTCCAGGACGGCGCTGGCCGTGTAGAAGGTGTCCTGTTCCACCTGCACGGGGTGTTCAAACCACACTGAGAAGGTATTGCTGGAGCCGTCCGACACAAACTTGGTCAGGTTCTGAGCCAGGACCACCCCCAGCCGCTTCAGTTCAATCTTGACGCTGTACTCGGCTTTCCCGGAGCTGGACCCGTACAGGCCCAGCCCCGCGACGAACACCCTCCTGTCCACGGCGAACTGGATGCTGTCACAGCGCCCACGGTAACGCCACTGATTGCTACGATAGGCAGAAGACTGGAAGCGGTGGCACCGCTGCGGGGCCAGGCCCTTCCTCTTGGTCAGGGGGAAGTTGAGCAGCGGCTTGTTGGCCGCCGTGTACCATAGGAAGATGTTGTGGGTCTCCTCCAGGGTCAGGATGTCTGACTGGGCAGCACCGTTGGCAAACTCCTCCAGGGTCATGGTGGGAATTCGGACCAGGTAGAGGGCAGGCCCCAAAACGTGCCTCTTGTTGCGCGGGGTGACCGGCAAGCCCTGTCTCTTGCACTCTGCCTCAGCCCAGTTCAGGACGGCCTCGAAGACCACTGCCTCCTTGGCGTTGAGGGCCTCCCGTGTCACGATGATTTCCAGCGTCTGCCAGTCGATTTCACAGAAGCCTTCAGACCTCAGGGCCATCTCGGCCTGTGCATCAATGACCTCCCAGCAGCGCTGGGTCAGCTCCGGCTCCTCGAACAGCCGGCTCTGGGACAGCAAGATGCAGGCGTTCTTGGCTTCCAGACTCGTCTCCAGAAAAGTGACACAGGCTTTCGCTAGAGCGGGGACAATGTACTTCTTGGCTGCATAAAGGGTGGCCAGCACCGTGTCGGCTTCCAGGTCAATCTCGTCGCTGTACATGTACCTGGGCAGGGTGGAGGCCGCGTCACAGGCTGCTCTGCGCGCGCCAGGCAGCTGCACCCACCCCCTCCCTGCGCCCTCACGCAGCGCACTTACTTTAACAAGATCAGAAAAGCTGCAGGCTCCACGTCGGGGATGTGGATTTCTGACTTGATTTCTGCCAAGTCGCCGTAAAACATGGCATAGAAGACAGAGCTCCCGACAGCCAAGACATACTGCGGAGAGACAAGCTGCCCTGAGCCCTCCCTGCCCCCAGCGGATGCCAGGATGGGATGCCAGGACGCCACACCCGAGGGGAGGGCACAGTCGCTGCTCGGGAGCTGGGCCGAGCGTCCGCTCACCTTGTGGGCAGGCACCCTGCGGGCCGCCCCCGGGGGCCCCACGATGAAGTGCACGTCGGCCATGAGTTCGTTGTTGAACATCAGCGCGTTCCTGCAAAGGGCAGAGGCACACGGCTCGGGGGTCGGGCCGGGGCGGGGGCGGGGGCGCGGGGCGCGGGGCGCGAGCGCGGCCCGGGCTCACCTCTCGCGCAGGGTCGGGTGGAAGGACTGCCAGTTGGGGCTCTCCAAGTTGTTGTTGTCTGGCACGGGCGGCGCGGGCGCGGACGGCGGCGGGGCGGGCGGCGGGGCGCTGGGCGGGCCCTTCCGGCCGGCGGCGGCGGCGGCGGCGGCGTTGCTGTTGGCGATGTCCGTGACGGTGGCGGCCGCGGCGCCGGCGGCCGGGTACAGCTCCGCGGCCATCTTCGCGGGCAGGGCGGCCCCCGCGCGCGCAAGCGGTGCGCCGTGCGCCCTTGCGTCGCGCCGGGGCCGGGGGGGCGGCTCTGCGAGCACCAGGAGCGCCGTGAGGCACTGCGCCACCCGGCCGTGCAGACAGGCCAGGGGCAGCAGCATGGGGGCCGCCCCGCCCGCCGGCGCGCAGCCCGCAGCC